TTTGTCCGTTATTTTTATCCAAGAAAATGTGTTTACTGTGTTAACCATTCCCAGATAATCCAGGCTGGAAGCACAACTGGCTGAGCTATGTCTATGTAAGGCTTGTTGGGTACGCAAAATCAAGGCCACACATTAAGTTCCAATTAAACTGATGCATTGCTCATTCCTATGCACAGGAATCTAGTCAACTAATGGTCAGCAGTATTTTGGCTCCAGATAAGGACTAACAGAATTCAAGAGGGGTTGGACTTAGATCCCTAGTGGGAACGTAGAGATTCCAGGCTGATTCCTCTCTTGACTCCGCTCCCAGGCTCCTTCTCTTCCGGGCTACATTAACAGAATCTTGCAAATCTGAAGACACAAACTTCCCATCTCCACTTTTAGATGCTTGATCCACGAGGGCAGATGCCTCCTAAGTATCTTTCTCTGACTGTTACGTGTCTGTGGTCTCCTGCTTCTCTTATCTGATGGTTTCCTAGGCAGCATCTCCTGTCCCCTGTCTTCAAGGTTATCCGTGCGTTCCATTACACTGTAGGGTATCATACAGCAATGCAAAAAGCATCATTCTGCCTTTCTAATTTTACAGCAAACAGCCTTTGCAGCACTGTGATGCTTCAGACCAGGAGACGTTTTTGCATCCATTTCGTTTCTGTTTAGCCATTCTGGGGAAATCGTTTGTGCAAATTGCTTCTTTCTCCCTGCTTCCTATTTATTCAGAGGAATGCCACGGGGATATTTAGAGAAGGAGCAGCCAGTCTCCTGGGAATTACCAGGAATGGATTGGTGGCTTTGTCACATGTCAATGTGTTTGAAATAATGCAAGATTAATATTGGAAATTTTGAATTCATCAGCTTTCCAGCGCTGTGTTAATTTGCTGAAGAAACGATACACAAGGTTTTTGTCTGCGTGCCTTTTAAAAAAAGGCTCCCTAATCCTGTATTAATTCTGACTATTTTATTCTCCAGAGTTGCTTCTAATCCCCTAGAATAGCTTACCACCTTTTTTAACAAGGCAAATAGGAATTTTTAAAAAAAAACATGTAGAGTAATTGTATAAATTGCAATTATTTCATTTTTGGTTGAATTGCATTTAAATCAAATATATTTATTTACATGTTAGATTTATGCCCTGCCCAATAAGTACCTAGCTTACCTCATGAGACTAATGATGATAATTACATAACTGGGTAGCAGTTAATTCTACCTTATTGTAAAGTTGCATTAACAGAATCTTGCCAGTCTAAAGTACATCTCTCCCCCTTCAGCTTTACAGTTCAAGAAACTAGGGATGTTTCTGAGATGTCCATTCCTCCTACAGCTCAGGTGCCTCTTATCCAACTGTTCTCCTGGCTCTGGCTTTTTTCCAGAGTTCATTCCCATGTACCATTTCATAAATCATCTTTTTTCCCCAGATTTTACATGAGATTTCATAGGCAATGTAGGAAAATAAAAACGGCTGGGAGTTGGAAGCTCATGCCTCGTTTTGGAAATATGTTTAAGTATCAGGAGCAAAAGCTCAGGTCCACCTGTGCAGGTCCAATTAAACTGATTTATTGCTAATCATGCTTATGCATGGGATTCTTCTCAACTAACACCTGCTTAGCACCTGCTTGGCCTTAGATAAGGGTCAATGGGATTCAAGGGGGATTGGACTTAGTTCGCTTGTGGCTACGTAGGGATTCTAGGTTGATCCCTTTTTTGACTCCACCCTCAGGTTCTGCCACTCCTTCTCCTACATTGCATGACTTATTTAAAAAGACAAAAGATAAACAAAGGTGGTAGGGGCAACCTCAGTACTCATTTTAGAAAATATGTGTGAGGGATAAGTTATGACTATTCATATCCAGTATAGCAACTGTATCTTCTTTTATATCAGCTATTCTATGAAATACCCGCCACTCACATTGTGAATTCCAGCTATCACCTGTAGCTCCAGAGAGTATTACTTACGCATTTTAAAAACACAACAGTGCTTCATCTGTCCACTAGTTGTTGGTTTCACAGGAATCACTTTGCTATTATTTAGCCTGGCCACTTATTGAAGCAATTTTAGCCCTTTTTCTGGACTGCTACCCAGAGTCCAGAGATGGGTGACCATGTAAATTGCATAAATAAAGTGCAATAAAATAGATCAATCTGAATTTGAGCTATGAAGGTGGGCCTGGAATATAAGGTGGAAGAAAATTGCATTATGGCGAAGCACCTGCCAGAACGTCTTCATAACAACAACAACAACAACAACAACAACAACAACAATAATAATAATAATAATAATAATAATAATAATAATAATAATAATAATAATAATAATAAACCCTTTATTATCAAAGTATAACATGTATACAGTGAAATTGGCTGAGCCTCCCTCTGTGCCCCCCCTCACCACAAACTCACGGTAACTACAAACCCCCAACTTATTTCACCCTGTGAACTAATTGCACATCACGCCGGCCTCACGAGTCTGTCATGCATAAAGTTATAAAGTTATGTCCCATTCAGAAGCCTGATGGCCCATGGATAAAAGCTGTTCCCTCAGCCTGTTGGTGCAACTTATACCCAGTTGACTCCTATTCACTAAGGAATTGTAGCTATTGATGTACCGGTATCAGCACAAAAGAGGACGGCACCTGGAAAGCTAGAAATAATGGGAATAATTTTCATAAACATACACTCTCAGCGTGTTGAGAAAATATAGTATGACTCCTTTCCTTTTTTTTACGTTTCTTCATTCTGACAGTATACTCCAAGACTCTCCTCTGTATGCTTCTCTAGGGCTATGTTCGCACATTATATTAAACCATGGATTATTTAATTAGGAATGGTTGCATTTGTTATGATTGTGCCCTTGAATGGATTTGTGCAAAAATTGTGATTTGTCTATCAGAATAATTGATTTCATGCTCTGTGCTGGGCTCACCCTAGGTAGAACTCATCTCCTGTGCAGGAGAAGCGCCAGATTTTAATGATGCAAAATTGAGGAGCGATGCGTCTCTTTTCGTTTTTACTTTCTGTGCAGTCTTTCTCTCCCAAAGCCATTGTCCTTTGAATAGCAGGCATTCCCGCTAACTGCTGAATAAAATTCATCATCCAGCATTGGCTGAGCTCCAAATGAAAATGAGGAAACTAATTACACATTTAGTTTAAGGTGAAATTAGCATACTTAGAATTTCAATTTCTTATAAACAGAGGGATGGGATAATTGACTTCTTCAAAGCTTTCTGCTATCTTATTCTGGGGGGTAATGAAGGTGGGCATAAATTAATAAACTGAATATCTCTTCCTCTCTCTCTCTGTCCCTCTCTCTCTCTCTCTCTCTTTCTTTCTTCCCTCCCTCTTCTTTCTTTCTTTCTTTCTTTCTTTCTTTCTTTCTTTCTTTCTTTCTTTC